CAACCGACTTTGGGTCTTCAATATTTTGATGGAATCTTACATAGCCCTAGATGAGAACACATCCAAAGCCATGAGGCAGAGACAGAATGGAGAGTTCTGAATCAGGGAGAAATTAATCCTGGTAATTTCAAGGCAGCCATATGTCATCCCGTGGCTGAATCCTAGTGTACCAATTTTACACAGGGAGGAAAAGAAAAAAAAAAACCCTTTCTAGTTCCCAGGCCTCTCTTACACTCACTCTGATGTACTTAACAGCTCCACGGGTCTGCTTTTCTCTTGTGTAGACTGTTGCGGGGATCAGAGGCATGCTCCTTAACCCCACAGTACAGCTCCTGAGACCCTAGAAGCACACTGTAAGTGGGTAGGCATTGTTACCACCACCCTTAATTTCCTCTCTGTAGATTTTTCAAGAGAAGAAACTAAATTCCCAACAGATGGCCACATACTTGCAGACTGAAAACCACAAAGCAGGTGAATCACCAGCAACCCAGGGAAGAAGATTCTGCCCGTGTGGCATTAATCAATAACCACAATTGTGTTCTAATCAACCACTGACAGGTGATGCAAAACACCGAAAGGGGAGTGTTAACCCTCCCGACTTTCCTGTTGCCTATCAGAACTGGCTTTCCCTTTCCCACTCTGTGAGCTTGTGACTCTCAGGACTATTGTCTATTTCCAGAGTTTGCAGTTGCTTTCCACTGTTAAGCCCCTCCCATTTCTGAAAGGAGTCAGATGAGCTGGGCAGCACTCCAAGTTATGACTTGGGCGCCAGACCTAGCCCTAATCTCACTGTACCTTTCCACCTGCTCTGCTTATATTTCCATGATAGACAGGAATCTATAAAGTTTAGAAGGAGAACTAGTATGAGTGATTTTATTTATTTGAGATAGGTTGCTTGCAGTCCAGCATAACCTTGAACTCTAGGATGCTTGTGCACTGCCACACCTGGCTATATATGTGACGATTGCAAATATTCCCATTTGACAGATACATCATTCACACAAGGTGAAGAGGTGTTTGTATAACGTGGGCAGGAGCTCGAGGCTGCCAGAGAACAGGTGATTTAACAGTAGTCAGGAAAGAATCATCTGGAATATCCTACTAGGTGAACCCTGCAACTATCTCTGAACAACCCCGGGGCAAACACACACACACACACACACACACACACACACACACACACACACACAGAGTTCAGCGTCCACAAAATAACAGTGAATCTCATAAAGAAACGGTCTAAAGTAGGCAGATTCACAGGATGCCAGGCAGAAATTGGGGGGGTAAAACTTCACTAGCATCTATTACTCTGGGGTGACAGTCCTGCCACCAGCAGGTATCCCAAGTGTAAGGATACCTTTCTCCTTAATAAAGGAGAGAAAGGAAATTTTACTAGAAAGTCTAAGAACAGATTTAAAGTCAGGTCTGAAATCAAACACATGCATGCACACACACACACACACACACACACACACACAAAGCAATATTCTGGCTGCCAACCTCTTCTACCCAGCATGCCAACTTAGCATCTGCGACTGGTTTCAATAGCAGCTTTGTAGCCCAGATGGCCAGCACCACCACCCTACAGCTAGTTCTAGGCTCCAGATAGAGACTCTGTGTGTGTGTGTGTGTGTGTGTGTGTGTGTGTGTGTGTGTGGTGTGTGTATGTATGTGCATGCCTGACCTCGAGCCTGATGCCCTTGATCTTCGTGCCGTTTGTAGGTCAACCAACCAACCCTAAGTTTCAAGCAATAAGTCAGGAATCCAGAGAAAATAATCTTTCTTCTCTGATTTTTCTGACAGATGCCCAAAGCAGCTTTCCAGAGCGTATGTTTAAAAGTGTGAACGAATTCCTCTCTTCCTTCCCGCCCTAAAACACGAACTCGCCTTCTCCCAGGGATCCAGCTCCACTCTCCTGTTCCTTCTGTGATGGTTAATTTTGTCTCTTAGCATCGCTAGATTTCCAGTCACCTAAGAAACACACCCCTGGGTGTATGTGTCTTTCGGGGTGTTCCTGCAAAGGTTTGACTGAGGAGGGGAAGCCCATTCAGAAGGAGGGGGGCATCATCCCACGAGCTAGAGTCCTGGACTAAGAAGGGGAAAGCAGGCTGGGTGTCAGCACTCATCTCTGTCTGCTTCCTGTGCGTGTGATGTCACTACCACTTCACACTCTCATCAGCTCGTCTTTCCTGTCACGACCGACTGCATCTCCTCAAACCACAAGCCAAACCCTTCCTTCCTTCCGTAAGTTGCTCTTGACAGACAGACAGACAAGCCACAGCTATGGTTCTCGCCTCCCATCCCCCCCCCTCTGTGTGTGTGTGTGTGTGTGTGTGTGTGTGTGTGTGTGTGTGTGCATGTGTGTGATGTCCCTATACACTGACTTGTAGATATGCCCAAGGTAACCCATACTGGGTGACTGTCTGGTCAGTGAGTGGGTTGATTTAGCACCTATGAATGAAAACTGAGGACAGAGGACAGGAAGGACATGGGGAAGTGATAGAATGTCAGAGCAGAGGAAGAACCTGAAACAAAGGCCTCACACCTATGAAGTTAATGTGAAGAGTTCCGACTGTGTTCAGCAGCCTCATCTATTTGAGTGCTTCTGGTAATGCAGGCCGAGGAACTGGCTTGGATGGCCCAGTATTAATTAGGAACATGTGGCAGATGGGACTGAGGAGAGTAGAGAAAACCCTAGATTTAAATGAGGATACACAATACTGGTCATGGTGATGGCACCAGCTTGCAGGACAACAGTGGGCCTCATGCTCCTCTCTCAACCGGCCATCCTCAACCACCATACCCAGGGGCTCAGCAGTCCTCTTTCCTTTGTCCTGGTGCTGAGGTCTGTGACTTCACGTGGTCCTCTGCTACGTCTAAGAGATGTGCTATATAACTTTATTTTACACAAGAACTCCCAGCATATCTCACAGGACGAGAGGAGCCATATAGAGGGCTGGCTGGCTACCTTAGAGGAAAAGGGAAGTACGGGGAAACAGCTGCTTTCTCCACCAAAACTAAACCAAGTTAACAATGTTCCCCCAAGGATACATCTTCCTCTCCTCTCCGCAGACCCCTGAGGGAAGTGACGGGACAATGTGAGGGGCCAAGGTTCAGAGCAGTGGAGTGTGGTAGAAAGATATTGGTTAAGCTGGCTGGTTAATTCCAAAATATGTAACCATCCTTGGTGCCTCTCCTCATGAACAAATTAGGTATAATCAGCAAGTTACAGAGCGATCAGAATTAAATCAAACAGCGAAAAATGCCTGCACAAATGTCACAGTTATAAGTGACAGTGATAGCTCTTGTCTTTTCACAGGAATCTCGCAGTAACCTTACTCTGAAAACCCACCCTCCCTCTCTCCCTCTCCACCTTTCTCTCTCACACACACTCGCAGTATAAACCAGAAAACCAGTCACCAGCTGTGAATGGAAAAACATGGGGACCTCTACAAGGGCCTCAATCTCTGTAATCAATGGCAGTAACTGATCAATAATCTATTTTATCAGCTCTACCTGTGAGGAGTGTAAGGTTTCCTTTCCCCCTCCTTTCCCTAGACTCTATCACCAGACAGCTACCATTACACAAGTCAGAAAGCCATTAATGTCTCCTGAAAGCTTGCTTCGATTTACCTGAGCACAAAGGGGTACAACACAGGAAACACAGTTAGCTATAAAGGACTTTGTTGTCTATCATTAGGGGTTACTTTGGTTTTTTTTTTTCAATAGTACCTTTTCATACCATGTGTGTCTAGGAGTCTTGATTGTGTGAGTCAGGCAGTACATGTGATGACCATTATAGAAAGCACAGAGGGGGCCAATACTATCTCAGGAAACTCAGGCTTCCTTTAGTTCAAATGTTCTGGTTGTGATGTAATTCCACATGGCAGGTCAAAGTCAGAAGAATGTGAAAGTCAGTGGGAAGAGGCAATAAACAGACAAGATTTGGGGGGTGAGGGTGGGGGGGAGGGCTTGAGTTCTTCCCACAAGTCCTGCTGCTAGGAATAGGGCATTCGCCTTCGTTGAGGACCACATGCCTGTCTGTCACCCAGCCTAGAAGGCACCAGCTTCCATCATATCTGAATACCGTGCACATAATGCTAATTTCTCCCTCCTATCCCGTCCATACCCTCAACGTTGGAAGACTGGTTGGGAACTTCCAGAGGGAAGAAAACACATCCTTCCCTCACAAACACCAGCTCCTCACTCTAGCAACTCAAAGGAGAAAGCGAAGAAGACGCATCTGAGCATTCCTCTTCCTCATAAGGAGCTGGGGGATTTTGATCACTAGAAAGACCACTGGAGCCCACAGCCATTCGTTCACTTTTATCCCCTCTCGGATCCCGCCCACTGTTGCAACGCACTCCCCACCCCGGAGTGGGTGGTTAGGGTGAAGACGGTGTGATACAACCAGTGAGTCTTCCCAGAAAGGCAGCCTGCCAGAGGAAGGCTTCTCCAGCCCCAGCCCCTAATGCTCTCACGTTAATTCCTCAAAATAAAGCCTTCGGAGAAAGTGAACTAGGCAGCTGGGAAAGTTACGGCGCAGGGAGCAACCCGGAGCAAGGGCAGGCGCAGAGCAGGGTCGTTCTGAACCCGCTTGGGAGGCGACATACGCGGGAGTGAGGGGGGTTCCGTCCTCTCGGTGTCTAAAAGAACCTTCCAGCCCAGCAGGAAAACAGAAAACAAAAGCCAATGTGCCCGCTGCTGCAAACCAATCCTCCCGCACTGAAGCGGAGCAAATAGGAGAGCGGCGACCAGGCGGAGCGGAGCTGAGAGCCGCGGCGGGACGGAGCAGGGGGCGGAACAAAGCCCCCGGGATCCCTCGGCTCCAGTCGGGCGACACAGCGCCCCCGTGCCCCGGGACCCCCAGGCAGGGAGGGATGCAGGTGTGTGGGTGCGAGTGCGCGCGCAGCGAGTCCCTCCCCCGCGCCCCCGAAACCCAGTGTGCAGTCTCCCCCCCGCAACCCTCCCACCCCATCCTTCCATCCCTAAGCGGCTCTCACCCGAGCGAGGATCGAAGGTGACCACGAACACGGCCACCACCTGGTCCTCCTCTACGTCGCCTAGCTCCAGGCGCCCCGGCTGCAGCAGCACTTCGGGGGGAGCCGGCTCGTCGGGTTCCCGCCTTCGGGGAGCCTCCGCGGCCACTCGGCCGCCCCCACTGCCGCCCCGGACCCATCCTCCAGCCTGCAGCGCGGGGTCCTGCGGCACAGAGACCGCGGGGCCCTCGGCCCAGCGCAGCAGCGGCGCCGCGTCTCCCTGCTCCACCATGGCGAGGCGAGGCGGAGCCGGGGCGCGAGGGGCGGGGCGGGCTGCGGGCACTCCCCTCCGGGCCTGCCCGCCCTGCCGCTTTCTGCGGCGCGGTGGCTTTCTGGGTGCCCGCTGGGCTTGGCCGCACCTGCCCCTACCGGGATACCAGCGCACTTGCATAGTCCCGGACCTCTGGAAGGTGGCCCTCACGGGTTCGGTGCCCCATGGCCTGGTCAGGGCATCAGCTCTGCATCTCTGTATGTGGGTGCTCTTGATAGTGTAGGGTGCAGGACGGGCATCCCTTAGTCTGTCACCTGCGCGTGGGTTGAAGAGCCTTCCCACCTAGGATTCCACTGTGAATTTTTGAACGTCACCATTATTTTTAAGGAGCAGGGTACATATATTACATAATCCCGAAGAGCTGGATGAAAACTGCCTGCAAGTCAGGAAGTGAAGCAGGGGACATCTCAAGTGTTTCAAATAACACAGAGATCAAGATCAAAAGAACTGTAAGGTTGCCATTGGTCATTTTACTCTATTTATATAACAGGCTGGTCAAGATATAATCACTAATTTATTTCCTTGAGTGTGTGCAGTTTGAAGATAGTAAGCTGGAGGGCTGTGGGGCTTGTTCTACATTAAAATAAGCAGGAAAAAGTGAGAGGAGTAGGGAAGCAGCCCTTAGGCCTGTGACTTTGGTAAGTAAGTAAGCCTTTGTCTATGAACTAACTCCCTTTGAATATTAACAAATAAAAATTTGATTGTCTCAACTCTTGGGAGGGTTAAATCTAGTGACTAACTCAGAGGTATGCATAAGAAATAGCCATTAAAACTATGAGAGAAAAAAATAAGATAACAAGAGACAATTATTTAGACACACAATTCACCTCATGTTTCAGGAAGGCTCCCTTTCTGACAAGGACTTGGTAGATTTTTTTGTGTTACCTGTTAACTCCAGGATCTTTGCGAAGCTCAGGTCTCCCTGCCAGAGATAATATCCTTTGATCCTGTTCCCAAGAGGATCATCAATGACTACCTACCCACAGCTGCTGCAAGCTCCAAATAAGTGACACATGCCTTAACAATAAAACATTTTACCAAAAAGTGGTGATTGCTGTCACCATCATGAGTTAGTTTAACCTGACCCCTGTCCCCTACAGACATGTTAAGTGACTATCTCACTCTGTTAATGGGATAATTACTGAAATGGGAGTCTGGGGAATGTACAATCCAAGCCAGGGCTAGGGCACAATCTAGTTTAAATTCAAGGGCACATCTGGCTGACTTATGCACAAACTCTGAAGGCAGACAACAAAGCCCAATACTTCAGAAACTGAGGCACAGCCAAAACTTCTGAAGTTGAGAAGTACAAGATTTTCTTTTTAGATACAAAACTCGGTTGGTAGATAATTCTTAACTGCTCTCCAAACTCACCACCAGCTTTAGGGCAAATGGGTTGTTTCCTTTCCCTCCCTCCCTCCCTACGTCCCTACCTCCCTCCCTTCCTCCCTCCC